TTAGAATGCAGTATTGCAGGCTAACTCTGCTGACTGCCAGCAGTTTGATCCTGACCAGGTGAAGATTGACTCAGACTTCCATCCTTCTGAGGTCGGTAAAATGAGGAGCCAGATTGTTGGGGGCAGTAGGCTGACTCTGTAAATTGCTTAGAGACAGCTGTAAAGCACTATGAAGCGGTGTATAAGTCTTAAGTTCTATTGCTACTGAAGGAGAGAATATAGACTAGACTAGACTAGACTAGACTAGACTAGACTAGACTAGACTAGAATAGAATAGAATAGAATAGAATAGAATAGAATAGAATAGAATAGAATAGAATAGAATAGAATAGAATAGAACCCTGGAGGTCTTCAAGCAGGAGAACCTATACCATCTCAGACAAGTAACTGTCTAGTCTCTTCTTAAAAACATCCAATGATGGAGCGCCCACGATTTCTGGAGGCAAGCTGTTTCACTGGTTAATTGTCCTCGCTGTTAGGAAGTTTCTCCTTAATTCCAGGTCGCTTCTCTCTTTGGTCAGTTTCCAACCATTGTTTCTTGTCCTGCCCTCTGGTGCTTCGGAGAATAATTTGACTCCCTTCTTCTTTGTGACAGCTTTGTAAAGCTGTATCTACAAAAACAAAACAAAAATCAGGACTCTGGTAACACCTTTTTCACCTCACCAATGTCCTTAAAAGGCATGAACAGCTCATCAAAGCTTATACTTTGTACATCAGGAAAAGTGCTACTAGACTCCCTCTGGTTAGTTACTATTAATGTTTATTTTTAAATTGCCTCCCTGTGTCGCATCTTTTTTCTACAATTACTTCAGTACTTTAATTGAACCAATGCCTGTTCTGTTTGGATTTTCAGGTAAGAGAAGCTGCACAAGCCTTACTGTTAGCAGAGCTGAGGAGAATTGAACAGGCGGGCAGGAAGGAAGCCATCGATACCTGGGCTCCTTATTTACCCCAGTACATGGACAGTGTTATATCACGTGAGCATTTTCTGCACTTCTTTGTTAGTTGCTGTGGGACATAAAGTAATAGCAAAACAGAAGGACCATTTCTGAATATATGCAGTTTAATTGAACTTCAGAATTAATAGGTCACGATAATGCAAAAAAGGTGAGGAAAGGTCAGGAATGTTTTAAATGGAACGATTCCAAAATACCTTTTAAAGGCAGATCTGGAAATATTTCTTTGGGAAATAGCCTGTGTGTGTGTGTGTGTGTACAGTTAAAACAATATTTTAAAATACAGATACTTCTTATGGTCCAAGATCCTCTAAAAAAGACACTGAAAATTTCTTTAAATGTATACATTTAAAAAAACCATTGTGTCTCTTGGATTATGCCTAATTTCAAAATTCAATAATATTTCAAGAAAGCAATAATACCAGTTTAAACATAGTTAGTATCCTAAAAGAGATCATTAAAACTCTACATATTAAAACTTCAATTCAGGAAACCACAGACGCAATGAACAAAAATGTATTTTGGATTTTGCTCCCAAATAACAGAGAAAGCTATTTCTCTCCTTTTTGGAAAACCATCCACATAATTGACATATCAATTCATGTCATCTGCATAATTACACAATTGTACAAAAGAAGTAAGCTGATGCAACTCATGTTAAATATCATTTGTATGAATTGTGTATATTTGGATTTCATGAATTTTCACATTCAACAGTATTTCCACTCAATGGCCAATGAAACTGAGGTTTTACATAGCATATTTCAGAATCTCTTTTAAGAATTATACTAGCAGCTTTCAAAACTGCCCATTCTCATCTCCATATTATGTCTTCAGTGAGTGTACTGAAACTACTCAGATAAGTATAATGTTCTGTATTTTTTAATATGTGTCTAACAGACATTTTATGTATTGGCCTTTATTCAAGAATACAGTGTATGCAAATACAACTTGTGTTTTGTGACATGTGCTTGCCTGAAGTGCCGAGACTCTGCTTTTCTAACAAACCTTTGCGCTCTTGGCTTCCTTTGCAAGAATATGCTTTGCTCTTGGAGCTTCCTATCTCAATTATCCTTTTAGACATGAAGTGTTCTTTGTATAGATAAGATCATCTTTTCCTTCGCTGTCTGTCAGTTTAGAGGTGGAAAAGATTGCAAATTGAGATCAGGTTGACTAGTACCCCAATGGCAATTCCATGGCTACATCTCTCATTTATTTTGGAATTAAGTTAACTTTATGAATTAACCTTGGGTATGAAACCTTCATCTACCTCGAAACTTAAAACTCATAAAGTAATGCTTCTATGAGACCGTTTCAGTTAATTTATCTTGTCCCTTTTTTGCTTGGTTGGAATTTGTTTAATTTCCTTTTGTCCAGACTGCTTTATGTGTTAAATTTGAATTGATTTTTCTTTGAAAGATGTCTCATGATCTTGTTAAGTCTAAATGACTTATATAATGTAGATTTATATAACATCATTCTGAGCTGTTCTCAAAATACCCTCAATATTCCTTGGTATTCGGTTTAATACAAAGGCTGGCTGCATCAGCTACCATGATAACCCGTCCATGATAGGAAAGAGTCACCTTGAGCTTCAGGCATATGTTTTCCTCTTCTCTGATGCAGTTAGAAGAGGGAGAGTAAAAGTTGTGATTTCCATTTGATTTTACAATTTATGTTATGTCTGGAAAATGGTAGCTGATCTTAACTATGCTGTGAAAAGAAACCAGCTTCTGAACCCATAAACAGTTTAAGACTAGCCCTACATTATTAGCCACAAGATATCATTAATAAAACTGGAAGAAAACTCTCTATACCAAATTAACCATTGTTTCATGAAGCACAAGACAGCCATGTTAGTAGTTAGGCTAGATAATCCTTTCACATGCCTACATTGTCTTTTTGAAATGGACATTTTTTATGAAATGAACATGTTTTGGAGATGCTCTATTTACAAGATCATTTACTTGGAAATAGACAGCTATTATTTCCCCACGCTTCCTAATTAATAGCAACGTTGGGGGGGATAGGATTTAATTTGGTAAATTCTTAAATTGCATTGTTTTGCTTTCGAGCCATATTGAGTTGAAAAATCCAGATGAAGGTAGAATGCAACAGTCATGAGCATTTGTGGTAAAGCATGGAGGGCTGCAATATGACAGTTTTGTGGGAAGAACTGTGTCAATTCATACTGCTCTGTTTATGTTACTTATTTTATTATAGGCATTTTTAAACTGCTTTAATTGTGTTAGCAGCCTAAAGAGTTTAATTATAGGACCAGCATAAAGTATATAAATACACACACATACACACACACACACACACACACACAGGAGGGGGAAAGAGAGAGAGAGAGGTACGAGCCTTCACATGGTTTGACCCCAAACTAATCACAGAATGAATACATGTATATTTATATTCCAGTGCTTCCTAAGTGCTTGGTTGCTAAGATATGTTCATGTATTCATGTGCTGTGTTTGTAAAGCTCTTAATTGCCATTAGCATTATAAAAAGCTCAGTTCTTCGGCAAATCAGAAGAAGATGAATGGCACAAATCAATACCATACCATTCAGAACAACTAATATCACCCATTTATTACTATAATGCTCACTAATATCATTAGCCCTAAGGTGCCATCAACAATTTCAGTGTTGCTTAATCCAGATGCATAATCTTCAAAACCAGTTTACATAAACTCTTCTAGGAATATACCTTGCCAGTAAGAAGTTTCAGTTTTCCAAAGTATTTTTTATAACTGGTTTAGAACTCAAGCTTACAGAGTTAATAAATATTATGCAGAATTTTAATTGCAATTTATAAATAGCGTCCTTCCAGTTCTGTCGTTTGGACTGTTTAAAATAACCATCTAGTGTTTAAATTATAGACATGAGGATACCATTAAACAGGGATTCACATTACAGTATGTAAACTGTACATATGTTTATGTTACAACACACAATGTATTGAATTATGAAACCCGTCCGTTCGTTATCAAGTGCGCACGTTATTTGTGTGTTGTGTCTGCACTCCGATTGGTCATTTGGCAATAAGTCTCGAGTTCATCTGTTTACATAGGTGTTTACCTCTCATCTAAAGCCGCCCGCTTGGGTATTTATGAATACTTAATTATAATTTATATTATCATTTATTTTAAGTATTCATGTCAATAATATTATTTACTTATATTTAATTATATATTAATATTATTGTATAATTCAGTACATCCATCATCTGTTGTAACGGACGTGCTAAATGTATCGGTCTAGCTGACGATCTTAATTGGGACTTATTTTTGGGGTAGGGCTTATATTATGAGCATCCTGAAAAATCATGCTAGGGCTTATTTTCCGGCTGGGTCTTATTTTCAGGGAAACACGGTATTTTAAATTCATACTTGTCTTGCAAACATTTTGTTATTTTTATTTATAACTCTTTTTTTATCTTATAAAAAAACTTTTAGCATATTTTATGTTGACTTCACTGGATATTAGATGAAAACATTTAGGTTATGTTCTTAAAAACTAAAGAAATATCTCTGTTGCAGCATACAGCCTATTGATGCATAGATCATGGATATTTGAATGCAGGAACAGAGATTTAATTTGAGTTTTTTATTGATGCCATTTTGAATATGTATCTGTTTCCTTCCTTCCTTCCTTTCTTCCTTCCTTCCTCCCTCCCTCCCTTCCTATTTATTTCACATTTATTGTGGTAATTATATAGTCTCCTCATTCAATCTTCTCTAATGTGTCTTTCTTTGACACATTAATTTCCTAAAAACACTATTATATATGATGATTACTCTTTTAATTACTTCCTTAATTAGATCAAAACTGTCTTTTTTTAAAGCCATAAATGTATGAAAAGGAATTATACATCAACTGTTATTGATGTAATACACTGGTAAAGATGCATGACATCACACACTATAATTTCTGTGTTTCATACCACTGTTTCAGAGCAGTTTGTCATCTTTTCATTCCTGAACAAGCACTTTATGATTCTTTCTAGAAAGTCTTGATTTTGATTGATTTGCAGAGGTT